AAGGGAGACTTTCCTAATCAGCCCCTGACTTGGGGAAGTGCCCAAGTGCCTGTATTGGGTCTAGCACCCATTGGACGATCAGGCCTGTGTTCTCCAAGGTGCGCAGAGCCAGAAGTGAGTCCAGAGCCTTGGATGAGCGCCCCCTACTGGCCCGCCACACCCTGCACTGGCCAGAGCCAGGCAGAGGGTGCTGGGAGGTCCTTTGGTGCTGCGAAGCCCTCACCTGCTCAGGGGATCAGGGACTGCCACCACCTGAGGGCCCTGACCCTGTGCTACAATCAGGCCCAGGGACACCATGGACCTCCCATGTCCTGGGCACATGCTTGATCCCAGAGGCTGGGGGTGGCCTCCTCCCTTGCCCGTGTTTCCAAGGAGAGTCTGCAGCAGGTAGGTGCCGGCTCTGGGCGCAGGCTGTGGCTCCCACTGGGGACGTGCACCTCCCCGCAGCTCTGAGTGGGTCCCTTTGGGGGCTGTGGCCAGATCCTGCTTTTGTGGTATTCCCTGGGCGCTGGCTCAGGGACTCCCAGCACCACGACCTGGCAGTGGTACCCCAGGTGCTTCGGTGTGTGCAGGGCCAGATGCAGACCTGGCCCCAGTATCTTCGCTGCACAGTTGGTCCTCACATCAGGGACACGTCCAGCCAGGCTGGCCAGCACTGCCCCCTTCCAGGCCTGTGACCTGCTCTGCACACACCCAGCTTGCGGGGCAGTCGCCCCACATTATGCAGTTCAGGTGGAAGCAGCCCTTCGGGCCACCGTCCCCATTGCTGTGTCCTCAGCAGCCTGATCCCATGGTCATTCACACCCTGGACTGGAGTGCTGTATGGTCCAATAGCCCTTGAGGCAGGTTCCCGGGGCCCGGAGCAGCCACCGGCAGCTCCCAGGTCCCTGATGGCTGGCCAGGGAGGAAGAGGTCGGGATGGAGCTTGGCCTTGGCTTACCCTGCCAGAGGCTCGCACCACACCTTGTGTTCTCACCCCAGGGAACGTGCACCCCACAGAGCAGTGAGCCTGGCAGCATTGCTGCTCCCAGGCCGCAGCACAGCACCCAGGGGCTCCCACAAAGCACTGGAAACAATTTGTTGTGGTTCACTGTTACAGTCTGAGCAGAGCTGCGCACCCCGCTATCCAGAAATTTCCTATTTATTTATTTGATTTCTATGCCACCCTCCCCAAAAAGGTGCAGGAAACTCATAAAATTAAATAAAATGAAAGATACATGTGAGGCAATCTTGGCACAGGGTATGGAGTGCCCTGGCAGCAGGACAACCATGAACAGCTGCGTGAGCAGGATCAGGAGCAGGGTCGGGAGCAGAAGGCTGCAGAAGGGAGCAGAATATGACCCGGTGCTGGGAGGGCGAGTGCCCCCATAAAGCAGACGGTAGCCATGCGGCTGGGCTGGTCCTGCACAAAGCCAGCTCAGCGGTGACCCCACCAGGCTCGAGCCCTGTGCAGTGTGCCCAGATTCAAGACAAAACAAAAAATATGTGTGTGTGTGTGTGTGTGTGTGTGTGTGTGTGTGTGGCTATATATAAACAGCATCAAGCAAAAGATTTTCTTCACGCACCTTAACCCATCTGTTACAATAAACACACCTGTGGATCCGCGCTCCCGTGCACCTGTCCACAGTCCTTTCCCTAACCCAGCCTTTTAGTCCTAGCTCTGATTTTGGGATTTACATTCTCAGTTCCTTCACTGTCGTCGTTGCTGTCACCGTCACGATCACTTCTGCTGCTGCTGACACTGCTGCCGATTTCTGATGGTAGGATTAGAGTTCGCTCAGAAACATTTTAACACAGTCTGTTTCCTCGAGGCTCATGTACATCAGGAGGTTCCTGCATTTCCACAGGCGCTCGTAACGCAGGACATGGACAGGTCGAAGCCAGTTGTCGGGGACCCCTGATACTTAGTCAGGTGTCCATACAGCACCGCATCACTTGGCATCAGCCTGACTCCTTTGTGGAGCTGGTTTGCCTTTTTCCACACCCCCTTGGTGTACGGACAGACCACAGGAGGTGGTCAATATTCAAACGGTGTGTGTGTGTGTGTGTGTATATATATATATATATATATATATATATATATTTACACCCTGAGTATCACAGCGATACTGTGATCTAATAATGAGTCTCAGAAACATCTTTTCCCCAGGGCTTCTGTGGCTTTTCTACATCTGGCTTCCAAGATTCACTGGAGGACCAAGCAGCTCAGGGACAGCTTCTGCCCCTTTGAGAGCAGGCTGCATGGCCAGAGCCTAGGGCCAGAGCCTAGGGCAGGGGAGCATCCATCTCACTAAGCCACACTCCTGGCTTGGCAACTAATTCCTAGCCCCTAGGAGCCTTCCCCTCCTGACTGCCCCGTGGGCCAACTTCAAGAGGAGGGCTGGGCATTGCCTAGCCTGTGGTCTGGTGCTTAGAGCACTTGGTTGGGAAGTGAGACGTACAGCCTCAAGCCTCCTCTGGGAAAGGTGGGGCTAGAACAGGGGCAGGGAAAATACGGCCCATGAGCCCACAACTGCCCCTGCAGTGCTCCACGTGGGGCTGAGCCCCACTGCTCCCACCTGGGCAGCGCATGCCCACACTCCTGCCAGCCCCAGCCCTGGCCCCAGCCCTAGCCAGTGCAGCTTCTGGCGCGGCTGGTCCCAGGGCGGCTGC